TAAAAATGCTGGATACTGGAGGCTGGAGGCTGGAGGGTGTGGCCATTGGAGACGTTGGTCAAAGGATACACAATTTCAGTTAAGAGGAGAAGGCTCAAGAGATTTCTTGTGGATCATGGTAATTATAGTTAATAAGCACACATTGTGCATTTGAAAATTGCTAAAAGAGTGTATTTTAATTGTTCCCACTCCCACATGTACATGTGAGGTGATGCACATGTCAAACAGCTTGATTTAGCTATTTCATAACTTGTACACACATCAAAACATCATATTGTAGCCACAAAGTTATTTTCTGGCCCTTCCCAGGCAATCTCTATCTCTGCTCCTAGGCAACAATTGTTCCCTTTTTTTTTTCAGTACTGGGACTTGAACTCAAAGCCTTGATCTTGATAGGCAGGTGCTGTGTCACTTGAGCCACGCCCCCAGTTCTTTTTGCTTTCGTCATTATTATTAGTTTTTGTCTTAGTTATTTTTTGAAGGTCTAGTGTTTATGCCAAGGCCAGGCTGGACCATGGTCCTCCTTTTTATGTTTCTTGTCTCACTGGGATGACAGGTGTGTACCACCATACTGGCTTTTATTGGTTGAGATGGGGTGCCTTGCAAACTTTTTGTCTGGACTGGCTTTGAACCTCCATCCTCCCAATCTCCACCGCCCGAGTAGCTAGGATTACAGTGTAACCACTGTGCCAGGTTTGTTCTCATTTTTTTTCCATGCTGGAGTGGTGTTGCCTTTTCCAGAACTTCATAGAAGCAGACTGGTGATGTATATACCACTCTGTGGAAAGCTGTTCCTGTCCAGTCAGAGTCCTCTCTGCCAAGTGACCCTGACTTCGTATCTCATTGTAACTCCAGGACCTGGTATCAAATAGGTGCTCGAGAAATGCCAGTGGATGAGAAAATGATTGTATGAGTGTGTCAAGAGTGACACATGAACTGTGGAATAGAGTTTCTTCTAACAGAACTGAGAGAGTTGGCCATCAGAGGAAAAAAATCACAAATTCTAGCTGTTCAGAATAAGTGGTATCAAAACTGTATCTGAGAGGCCTGAGGTTTTATAGATTATAAAAAAGAACAGGGGGTGGGAGTATAGCTCAGTGGCAGAGTGTAGAGTGCTTGTCTAGCACGTGTGAGGTTTGATTCTCAACAGTACAAGAAGGCAGAGGAGGAGAAGAGAGAAAGAGGAGGAGGAGGAGCAGAAGGAGGAGGCGGAGAAACAGAAGGAGGAGGAGGAGAAACAGAAGGAGGAGGAGGAAAGTGATAAAGATGAGCAAGAGGAGAAGGAAAACGAGTATGGGGAGGAGAAAGAGGAGAAGGAGGAGGAGGAGAAGGGGAGCTAGGGATATAGGTCAGTGGTAGTGTTATGCCTAGATGCACAAGGTCCTGAATTTGATTCCCAGCACGGTAAATGAAAAAAAAAATACAGTGCACCAGTTGTTACCCTCATTGGTTTCAAGAACAGCACTGGACATTTACTGGTCCAGTATATTCACACTCCAGGTAAGAACTGTGATTGGCAGGTAAAGGTTTCCACTTGGGTTATTTACTATCTTCATTGCACTAGGGATTCTGCAGAGATCTGCCTTGCTAGGTCAAATGGTGTAGGTGACCATTTTGTGCTCCACATTTCCCCCAGGCTAAAGGATTTTGTGAGCCTGGCACTGGTGGCTCAAGCCTGTAATCCTAGCTACTTGGTAGGTGGAGATCAGGAAGATCACAGTTCAAGGCCAGATCAGGCAAATAGTTTGAGAGACCCTATATTGAAAATACTCAGCACAAAAAATGGCTGATCCTCAAGTGGTTGAGTGCCTGCCTAGCAAGCATGAGGCCCTGAGTTCAAATCCCAGTACCACACACACAAAAAGATTTTGTGACTTCATTTTTGAGGCATTTAAAATCCTTTCTCAAGTGAAACTGTTCCTTGTTCATGGGAGACTTACTCCCTGATCCTTTCTCCTCTATGGCCACCTCCTCCTCAGTCAGTTGATGTACCTTTCCTCTCTGTTCATCCAGAAACCCCTCCTTGGGGTACAGTTACTGATTCTTCACTTTATCTCCTTTTGGGAACTCCTGCTTCCTTTCCTTAGGGCTGAAATTCCACATATAAGAGACTTTCAGAGCTGGGCATGGTGGTACACACCTGTAATCCCAGCTCTTGGGAGGCTGAGGCAAGAGGCTTGTGAGTTGAAAGTGAGCCTAGGTTACATAGCGAGTTAAAGTCCAGCCTGGGGCTTAGAGAGAACCCTATTTCATAAAACAGAGACTCTCGGGACCTGTTCCCAGACCTCCTAATCTTCACATTCCACAAAACACACATAATCAAGCACTTTACTGCTGCTTCCTGTCTTGCTTTATTATCACCTTGACTTCCGGCTTCACTTCCTCACTTCCTTCTCTGCTCCAAAATAAACTCCACCAGGGCTCTAGAACTGCTGGAGTCTCTATGGGGCCAAAAGTTTTCTCCCTGGCAATTGGGGCCTCTATGCATTGCTGCCGGGAATGAATGTTGATGCGAACACTTTGAGAAACCATTTGGCAATTCCTTATAAATGTCCATCTTCTATGCAACACACACCTGGTTATTTACCCCAAAGAAGTGAAAACTTACGAAGCCTATATTCTGTGCCTGAAACATGTCTTCCAAAAGTTCGTATGTTGGAAACTTCATTCCTAAATTCCTATATGGATGGCATTTGAAGGTGGTGTCTTTGGGAGGTGGCCTTAGTGGCTCTTTAAGAAGAGGAAAAGAGACCCCAGCTGTCAAACTTGCCCTGTCTTTCCCTTCTTTATGCTATGATGCAATGCTATGATTTGTATATGGTTTGAGTGTAACCCCAAAGTTCATGTGTTGTGTTGTGATGTTAAGAGATGGTTGGACCCTTAAGAGGAGAGGAGATAGTGGGAAGTCATTAGGTCATTGGGGGTGCTAAGTATGGAAGGGATTAACACAGTTATCATGAAGTCCTGGTTAGATCCTGGTTCTTATGAGTGGGTTATTACAAAAGAGCAAGACTAGCCCCTCCCCCGCTGACACTCTCTGGCTTCTCATCTCACCATGTGATCGCTCCTTCTTGCACACACTTCCACCCTGATGCCATCTGCCATACTGTGATGCAGCTAAGGGGCTCTTACCAGAGTCAGGGACATGCTGTTTGTACTTTGCGCTAAATCTCTTTCTTCATAAAGGATCCAGGCATTTTTTTAAGCAATGAAAAACAGACTAATAAATGCAGAAAGAAGGTGCTCACTGGATCCTCTCACCATGTTCTTAGACTTACCAGTCTCCAGAACCATGAGGCAAATAAAATTCTATCATTTATAAATGACCCAGGCTCAGGTCTCTTAGTAAAGCAACAGAAAACTAAGACACCATACAAAGATTTGTACAAGAATATTCATAGCGACTTTATGCATAGTAACTCACATTGGAAGCAACCCAAACATCCACAAACAGGTGAAGGGATCAATTAATTATGGTCCAGCCACACAATGGAATATTACCTAGCAATAAAAGGAGCAAATTATTGATTTGCATAACAACATGGGTGCATCTAAAAATGTTATGCCTTAAGTATCCAGAGACAATGGATTACATGTCCTGTATGATTCAATAGATATGGAATTTTACAAAAGATGAGCCAAATAGATAGTGATGGAAAACAGCCCAATGGTGGTCTGGGGCACAGCTAGGGGTTGGGATTGATGAAGAAGGGATAGGAGGGAATTTTAAGGAATGATGGAAGTGTTTTATATTTTGAATGGTGTTCCCTCTTCTTTTGGCTCTATGCTGTCACAGCTAGACATCTGGGGGCCTTTGATTCTAGACTTAGTTGAGTCTAGAGCTAAAAGCTGCTGGCCTATCACTCTCATTGGACATGTCCCCATTGGAAATTCTCAGAGATCCCGGAGGTTCCCAGGACGGAATCAGGAAAGTTGGGGAGTGCAGGGTGAATTCATATCAAAAGTCCCTATTGGTAAAGCCAGGCTGTCTGCAACCTGAACCCCTGCATGAGTTCTGCCAAGGTCTGTAACGTCCACTCTCCCAGCCTGGCAGGGCTCTTGCTGGGTCTTCTGCCTGTCACCTTCCTGACTCTACCTGCTGTTTTCCCATCATTCCTCAAAAGTCCTTTTCTGGGATGTGTTTTCTGGTTGCCCCACCCAATGGTCCAAGGAATTATGTGTGTTGGGTTCCTTCTCTCCCTACCTCAGAGTCTTGCCATGGGATGCCTGTAATCTCTTCATTGGGGTGACACTGTAGGTATGAGACTACTGTTGAAATATCACCACAGTCTTCCCAAATGCATCAGGTGTCATTTCTCTATGCATTCCTCCAATGCTACCATGGATCACATTGTTCCTGGCCCAGCTATGCCTGAATGGGGTGGGGGGCTCAGAGTGACCCCTGGCTATGACATATTCGTGTGTCCCCAGAACTCTCTGAGCTAAGCTCTGTGTTAAGGACTGAGGAGGAAAGAATACAGAGTGGGAAACTATTCCTACTTTCAATCCCTCCTGCCCAGGGGATGTCACCCAGTGCATTGGTGGGGGACAGTATGTGACCATCTCTAGAGGTCAGGGGTCACTTTCAACGAGTAGACCAGAGGCTGTGGGATAAAGTTCAGAATAGCTCACCAGAGATAGGAGTCTAGATTCATTTGTCAAACATCTATTGATGCTTCCTCTGGCCGTGAAGATAACTCCCAGTCTGGGGTGGAGGGAATTCAAGAAAATCAACACTTCCATCACTGTGTGTAAGGTAGAGAGGTGGAGTCAGATCTGGGAACAGGAATTTTGGAAGTGGTTAGGTTAGGTGAGAGTTTAGGAGGCTCGTGAGTTGGAGCAGTGCAGAAGGAGGGATGGGACAGGGCTGAGTTGGGTTGAGTGGCTCTCAAGAGTGGTGCATGGAAAAACAAAATCTGTGGCAGAGGGCTCCAGAGGTGTGAGTCCCATCTGTGAGTCAACCTCTGGCAGTGGGCGTGGCTCTGGGGCACTGGGTGGGCTCAGCAGCTGCTCCTCTTCTCACAGATCCAGCCATCCCTCTCACTGGCACATGGTGCATCATTCCACAGTCCTGAGTGCAGCATCATGACACAGTCCTCACGCCCCTGAGAGTCATTGGGCTCCCCGCTGTTCCAGTGGCTGCCGGGGTGGATTGGGGTGTTGCGGGAGGGTCTGAGTTGAGCATGGACCTAGGGTCCATACTTCCTTCCTAGGGTCTAGCCTGTTTATTACTGGGGTGTACCCTACACACCCTGTCTAACTTGATCTTATATCTGGATGTTCCTTAGGACCTAGAATTTAACCTTCAACCTTCCCATCCCTAAGAACCTAGCTTGAGCTAAGGAGCTAAGGTAGCCTGAGATGTGATCAAAAGCACTTCCCTTAGGGTCTAATTCGTCCACCTCCCCAAGTCTCTATTCTCTGAGGAGCCTTTCCCTCACCTGAAGGTGAGTGAGACTCCATCCACCCACTGGTAGCCCCGAATCTTTCGGAGATGGCGCATGGCCCTCAGGCCCAGCCAGTAGCCTTGGCCACGCGTATGCTTACTCAGGAAGTCCTGGAAAAGAGCAAAGACCTGAGCTGTCAGAGTTCATCGACACTGCTCCGCTGTCTGGGCCACATCTGCTCAGGTGAATGCCATTTCCCTACTCTGCCACCCCACAGCTCACCGCACCTGCTCTTCCAGGTTCCCAATGATCACCAAGTGTGAACCGTTGCCTGCACAGTGGCTTTGTGCAGCTTCCCACGTGGCCTTTGGCTCCGAGAAATAGTAGCAAGAACCCTGGAAGGTTAGCCACGAAGTGGGGCACGGATCACAGGAACCTGCAGGTGCCAAGGTTGAGGGATTGTTCCCAAGAAGAGGTCACAGAGAAGGTAGGGAGGGTATTGGATTGGCAGGCCCAGGGGCAGAGCCATAGAAACCAGGCCATGGTGGAAAGGCGGAACCTGGTGGACAGGGGAACCCTTAAAGCCCCCAGGCAGAGTCTACTTCTCTCCTCTCCCCCGTCTGGCTCACTGTTCATGTGCCTGACCGCCTCCAGCTCCCGGAACAGCTCGGTGCGAATGTCCTCCAGGTTCCTGCCTGCTTTAGCCAAGCCCTGGGTCACTGAAGGGTCAAAGGAGTCCAGGAGCAGAGTCATGAGTAGGCAAACGTCAAGATCTGTGATTGTGGTCGGTTCAAGGTCAAGAATGGCATCAAGGTCAAGGACTTAATGACTGGGCAGGGTCCAGGTGTGTCTAGGGTTAGGGGTTGTAATCAAGAGCAGAGGCCCGAGATCAGGGTCTGGACAGATCATCCTCCAGGTGAGGGGTCAGGGTCCGGGATCACAGGAGAGGGCTGGATCACGACTGTTGGTGAAAGGGTCGTGGTCACACGCAAGCCCTCACCTTGCTCACGCAGTTCGTTCAGGGTGCTCTCCTGCTGCATCAGCTTCTTATGTGTCTCCCCAAGCTCCACCAGAGTGGTTTGTAGTTGTGCGTTAGTCCCAGAGCCTAGGAAGGGCACGCATGGTGGGGGTGGGAGGCCGGGGTGGGGGTGGGTGGGACTTCTGAGATCAGCCCTCCCGGCCCTGAGGAGGCTTTCCCCATTTCCCCCCTCTGCCCACAAGCCTTGGCCAGCTGAGCCCCTTCTCACAGCAGCTCTTGCAGGCTCCGACCTCCTCCTTCAAGGCACCAAGAATCACAAACTGCATCGAGGCTGGAAGGAATTCCCCCCACCCCCAACTGCTAGGTCACCTGGAGGGACTCAGGGGACACTGTTCCCCACTCCAGGGCCAGCCCCAAGGACTGGGTGGGGGATCCTCACCCATCCATTACCCTGTCTCAAAATCCCAGGCACTCCCTCCCCACACACAAAGGGGCCCAGACACCACCGTTCTGCACACACCGTTTGTCCTCAGCTGGTCCTGGTGAATCCGCTGCACCCCTTGCTCCTTGGAGGCTGCAGAGAGAAGCTCCTGAAGGCACAGTGGGGGACTCGAGAACCCTCCCCTCATCCGGGGGTGCAAGGACCCCCATCTTGGCACCCACATAAGGGGCATGTGAACATACAGTACATATGCTATGCACACACATTGATGGGAGATAACACATGGGGGTGTGCACACATAGAAGCACACTTGTGTGCACATGTGGCATGTACACAGCCTGGGGTGACACACGCTGTATTCACACTTGCTCATGCTTACACACAGCCGAGGTCTTGGACCTCTGTGGAGGAGCTTTACGTCCTCCCATCAGACAGAACATCTCATTAAGAGGGCACTCACCCTTGGACAATAGGATGCTTAGGATGAGAGCCCAGAGGACTGTAGCCACCAGAAGAGCCAGGGCCAGGGAAAAAAGCCTTTGTCTGTAGTGCTGCCAGTGTCCCCAGTGCCCTAGGAGAATACAGATGGACGCTTGGGTTTTCCAGGACTAAGCTCTGGACTGAGGTTCAGAAAGGTTAAGTAACTTCCTACCGTCACACAGCCCTAAATGGCAGAGTTAGAATTTGGACCCAAGCATAACAGAGTCTATGGCTGCAGTGTTTCCCCTGCCCCCATTGCCTGGATCCTCTTGCCTCTTTCCTTCCTTTCTTCCATCAAACCCCACATACTAGGATAGAGGGAGCCAATAAGGCAGTCCCATTGCTCATACCTTTAGGGGCCTCCTCAGGCCCACTGTCCCACTTGGTGTATTCCACAGTGTCCATGGCGGTGCAGACACCCAGCCTTGGGCAGAGATATAAATTTAGTATCCAACCCCGCCCTGGCCCCATTTCCTCTCTCTTCCTTCCCATTTCCTCTGTCTTAATTCCTGATAGCAGGAACCCATTTATGAGTAGTCATAGTTCTGGGTTCTTTCTTCACTGGGGGAAGTTCCAGCCTCCTTGGCTGGGTCACTACTGCTCCATCCCCAGGCTGGAGCTGGGGAATTCTCAGAGCTAGGTCCTAATATCTTATAGGCCTGGGCTTCCTCTGGAGAGGAACATATTGCAGACAAGTTTCTCAGGACTTTACTGGATGCTGAGAAAACCCCTCAGGTGTGGCCTGGCAAAGCCATTTCAGCTGTCCTCAACTTTCTTGCTGCTGCTGGCCAGAGGCTGTGTTTGACATAGCTCTACCTGAATTCAGTCCCTCTTGTCCAGAAGGGAGAAAACAGACAATTGGAGTGACTGATTAAGTCACTGGATTCTACTATTGGGTAGCTGGATGGATGGGGTTGTAGGTAGTGTGTAGCTTCTAAAAGCCTTGGTTTCTCCTTTGTGAAAAGGAGGGGAGGTGGCGACAATGACAGAGCCTCCCTCAAAGGGACTTGGTATAAATAAATGAGGTTATGTATATCAAACCTTGCACTGTCTGAAGCTCATAAACCACACTAAATGTATATATTGTACATTGTATATATTGGCCCAGCTCTCTTATTATTTGACTTCTGTACATGTGTGCAATGCCAAGGTGAACCCCCTTGAACAATCAATATGCACTTAAAAAATGAAGACTGGGAAAGTGAAACAGGTCCTGTTTGGTTGTGGGTATCAGTAGGAGAGGGGAGGGTAAGCAGAGTGGGTGAAGGAGGGTGAATATGGTGGATGTACTGTGTATATGTGTATGAAGATGGAACTATAAAACCTGTTGAAATTGTTCTAAGAAGGGGGAAGAGGGGATAAAGGAGAACCATGGAAAGGATGGATCTAATTAAGATGTATTCTAGGCACTATGTAGAGTCACAATGAAGCCCCCCCCAGACAACTAACATATGCTAATAAATAAAAAAACACAACACTAAATGAACTAGGTGCTGTGGTTCATACTTACAGTTCCAACTATTCAGCAGGCTGAGGCAAGAGGATTGTTTGAGACCAGGAGTTCAGGGCCATCCTGGGCAACATGTCAAAAAATCAAAACTCAACAACAACAAAAACCCATCTAAATCTTCATGCATTCTCTCAACAAACACTGAGAAGTCACCATATGTGAAAAACTCCTCTGAGAATTTGAGCAAATCAATGAGCAAGACAAAGTTCTTTCCTTTTCCTTTTTGTGATACTGAGGATTGACTTCAGAGCATCCATGTTGCTAAGCAAGCACTCTACTACTGGAACCATACCCCTAGTCCTTTTACTTTTAGTTTGTTTTTTAGATAGGGTCTCCTGCCTTTGCACAGGCTGGTCCCAGATTGAGATCCTTCTACTTTTGCCTCCTGAATAGCCAGGACTACAGTCATGCACCACCATACCTAGCTTGTTTTTGAGAGAGAGTCATGCAAACTTGAACCTTGAACCTCAATCCTCCCATCTCAATATCCTGAGTAGCTGGGATTACAGGTATGTGCAACCATGTCCAGCCCAGTTTTTAAAACACATTCCTTCCTCTTTGGTGCTAACATTCCATAGGCGGCTGATCAGAGTAGACAGAGTCCACACTAAATATCACTGATGTAATTTTAAAGGCAAGTTTAATTGCATAGTATTTTTCAAATGAGGGCAATTATGCCTTCCAGGGAATATTTGGCAACAACTGGCGACATTTTTTAGTTGTCATAACTTGAGGTATTTGTGTCTGTGCTACTGACATTATTGGGTAGAGGCCAAGTATACTGCTCAAAACCCAACAATGCACAGGACAGCTTCCTGCAGGAAGAATGACCCAGACCCAAATGTCCATTGTGCCAAGAGTGAGAAACTGAGCATAGTATATTAAAAATCCGCAAATAGGGAGAGAGGCAGGGCAAGATGGTAGATTAGAAGCTTTCTATGTTTGACTCTGTGAATGAGAAAGTATGTAACAAAAGGCAGCCTATACTCTGAAGAGAGAAAGGAAGAGCATCAGAAACCAGGAATGAGGTTCAGGACAGCTGAAAATCATGTCAGGAAGGTATCAGAGAAAAGTAGAAAACAGTCTGCAGCTCCAAACCTGGTTCTTGGGAAACTGGTGGTGGGTAAGCCAAAGACATGACCACAAAGATAAGCCAGGCACCCCTGGTAACAGACAGAGAAAGACCTAGTCATGGGGTAAGCTCACACTTCCTGTAAGCCTTCAATCCAGTGCAGAGGTTTGGTGTGGCAGGGACTACTCCTTCCTAGTAGGCTATCATTAGAGAAAAAAAGATATTTTGTCACTACCTAGATCTCATCATGCTGTAGCCTGGTGCCATCTTGAGAGGAGGGCCTATTGCTTGAGACTGAGCTATTCTGAGATACTCTGAGGATCTGAAAACAAGGAAAAATCTTGGTTCAGGGAGTCTGGGGACACCAGTCTGGGGACACTGCATATTTGGGAGATGGTTATAAGAGGGGTGCTGTAGAAAGGAAGGTCTGATGTGGTTCTTCTGAGAAGTTTAAGCAGTGAGAGCTTGGGCATTGATGGGTGCAGTGGTTGGTGGCCCTGCCTTTTCTGGCAAGAAGAAAGTCCCTTCTCTAAGGATCACTGTGAAAACAGCGTTCCAAGCCTGTGACTGGCAGAGTGCTCAGCCTCCCAGTTGTTCATGGGTTTTACTGGGTGGGATTAGGACACTGGGCCCAGGTCCTGTGGACCATGTGATTTCTCCAGCCTCCTCTTTCCCACAGGAGGTTAACAGCTGGGCTAGGTCTGGAAACATTGAGATTGGCAGGTAGAGTGTCTGAATACCTCAGTTTCCTCCTCTAGTCCAGAACTCAGTGCTTCGTTTGATTCCCCACTTTCAAAAGCAACTGGGGGGAACCCCTAGGCTTGAACACTTACTACCTCTGGGGACATAAACTGAGGGGCCTGTGGAGCAAGTGGGAACCTGCTCAACTCACAGGCCTCAAAGCTCCTTATGGCCAGCAGTGGCTCCCAGTATAGAAAGGGGGAAGCTTCTAAAGTGAAAGCAGCCATGATGCAGACAACTGACCCTTGACCAACCCCACCTAGGCCACACACAGCATCAACCTCTACACTAGGCACTAGAAGAGACTCCAGCTAGTTTTTGTCTTTCCTCCTGTGGTGCTGAAGATCAGGCCTGGTGCCATAAGCATATAGGTGAACACTAAGCCATTGAGTTATACCCTCCAGAAAGAGCAAACAATCTGCTACTACCCAGTCCTGCTCGAACACTGAGAATATTCATCAGAATATGACTTGGTCTCAGTTGTGCAAATCCTAACACAAGAACATAAGAATAATAAAAAAATAAGGCAAAAAGTCTCCTCCAAAAGTCAACAATTCCACGGTAATGGACTCCAATGACAGTGAAGTAGATGAAATATCAGACAAAGAATGTTTATAAGAGCAATCAATGAAATCAAAGAGGACATAAATGAATTCCAAAAGAATACAAATAAAGAGTTGAACGAAATAAGGAAGACAATACAGGACATGAAAGAGGAATTCAATAAAGGGACAGATATCCTGGAAAAAATCAAATAAAAATTCTGGAAATGAAAAGCTCAAGTCAAATTTAAAAACACAGTTGAAAGCCTCACAATAGATTGGGACCAAGCTGAAGATAGAATGTCAGGGTCTGAAGAACAGGTAGATGAGTTAGAAAATGATAGATTAAGAAAAGTACAACATACAAGACCTCAGAGACAACACGACAAGATCAGATCTACAAATTATGGTTATAGAAGTAGAGGTGCAAGCTAAAGGAATCGAAAACATATACAATAAAATGATAGCAGAAAATTTCTCAAACCTTGGGAAAGATATGAGTATCCAGATATAGGAACACCAAACAGAGAAGACATGAAAAGGACCCCTCCCTGTCACTGTAATTAAACACTGAGTATATAGAGCAAGGAATGAATATTGACAGTTGCAAGAGAGAAGCATCAAGTTACATATAAAGACAAAGTCATTAGAATAACAGCAGATTTTCAACAGAAACCTTAAAAGCAAGAAGGGCATGAAATAAAATAGCTGCCATCCTGGATTGCTATATCCAGAAAAGCTATCCCTTGTAAATGAAAGATAGTAAAAGTCTTGCCTGATGAACAAAAACTAAAGGCATTCAGGACCACTAAACCAGGGCTTCAGAAGGTACTTAGAGAAATCCTACATGCAGAAGAGGAAGAGAAATACAACCATGAGAATACAGGAAAGAATAATTCTCACTAGATGAGTATAGAGGAAAATGAAGAGAAATGAAGAATCAAATACTACAAAAATGACAAAATGATGGGAGTTTCTACACATGTTTCAACAATAACTTTGAATGCCCATGGTCTCAATTTTCCAATAAAAAGGCATAGACTAGGGGACTGGGTTAAAATCAAGACGTAATTATTTGTTGCCTACAAGAAATGTACCTCACTGGCAAACACAAACACAGGCTTAAAGTGAAAGCCTGGAAAAGAGATATTCTAAGCAAATGTAGCCCAAAAGCAAGCAAGAGTAGCTATACTCATATCTGACAAAGCAGACTTCAAATCAAAATTAGTCAAAAGAGACAAGAACGTTACATCGAATTGACAAAGCGAATAATCCATCAAGAGGATATGACAATTGGACATGAACACATGGAATGTTGGCACACCCAATTTCATAAAGCACCACTGGATATAAAAGCACAGACTGACCCAAAAACAATAATAGTGTGTGACTTCACTATCCTACTCTCACAAATAGATAGGTCACACAGACCTATCAACAAAGAAACTTCAGAATTAAATGATACTATTAATCACATGAACTTAGTCTACAGACTATTCCACCCAACAGCTGTGGAATGCACATTCTTCTCAGCAGCTCA